AGAGTTAAGTGTAGATCTAAATCAGGATTAGATTTGTTTATGTAAATCCAAAATATATCAGTATTTAGTGTCAGGTGGTACTAAGCATAGTAGGTTCAATGAAAAAATTTGGTAAATGTTGGATTTTGGTAGTTTTCTCTGTGTGTACATGTGTGTGTGTGTTTAAGTTTAAAAATCTGATTGTGCCTAATTTGATTCACAATATATGTTATACTTTGTGTGTGTGTGTGTGTGTGTGTGTGTGTGTGTGTGGCACTGGGAGTTGAATCTAGGGTGACTTTGTACTGAACTACATACCCAGCCCTTCAAAATTTTCTTTTTTTATTTTGAGATAAGGTCACACCAAGCTGGACTTGAACTTGCAATCTTCCTGCCTCAGCCTCCTAGAATGCTGCAGTTACAGGTGTATGCCAGCACACCTGGGTTATTTTTATGCACACGTCTTTCAACTGCTGCAGCACTCCTTCCTGGTCACATCACATCATGACTGGCGGCATGGGGGTGGGTGGCATCATTGCTTAAGCCTGTGAGGAGAGGGAGTGGTCACTTGGTGAGATGGGAAGCCAGAAAGTGCCTGGAGTAGGTGTGGGGGACCAGTCCTGCCAGCTTATATCACCCCTCTGGAGAGAGAGCTTTCGAGGGGCCCATGAGAAATGCACTAATCCCTGTCTAGGGAAGCTCCTCAGTGACCTAACTACCGCTGGTGCATGCTCCCAACACCTGAGACTTGGGGCCAAGCCACATCCCACCATCATGACTGCATGCTTCACGCTCAGCTGCTTTATTGGGGGATCTGTCATCTGCTCCTATCTGTTTATCTTGTTGCCTTGTATCTTGATACTCAGAATTAGTTTTCTGTGCTGCTTTCCCATCTCCATCTTGAGTCTTCTGTTAGGGGATTGGTCCACTGAATCTAGAGGTAGCAGCAGCGTTGTGGGAAATAAACAGGAAGTCTGCTCCTCAGCCTAATCCACACACACATCAGCAAACACGGACCTAGCAGGATGCCAAGCTTTCAAGTAAAGTCAGTGAAGCGCTCAGGGGGAAGCATCAGAAACACACCCCAAATTGACTTGGCATTTGTCGCCTGGGACAGCCTGGGTTGTGAATGGAAAACTCTTGTAGATTAGAAGAGGGGAGCCCAGGCAGTGAGCATATTTCATACTCACTGTCCTTTACAGAATCCCCATGAAGTGGCTGACCTTAGAGGGGACTTTTGATCATACACCTCAGTCTTTTCAACCTGTTGTTCCTATTTGCATATGTGCTTTACTGATTCCTTCAGGAAGAAGCATTTTAAAGGAATACAAAAAGCTTTCCACCCCAGAGACACCCAAAGGTGGCAGCTCAGGTGGCTTTCCTTCCTGTCTTTGTTCTTTTCCTCCCAGGATAAAATATTTTTTCTTTTCTGGAGTTTGTGATCTGAGACATGCTTAGATGTAACTGCTTGAACTTTAAAAATAATACTTATTTGGGGGATATTCTGTTCTTTTATCTGTAGAAAGACTTGGAATTGTGGAGTTACTTCTGTAGCTTTTTAAAAGCTTAGCTTTCCCGAAGTGCTGTTTTTTAAACTATCATAAGTCAAATTTATCATGGGGATAATGTAATAAAGACAAATATTCAACCAATAATGAAAAGCTAAGTAAACGGGTATGTTTAAGCTCTATTATGTGCAGGGGAGTACATTAAGGCGGATCTAAGAGACACTTTAATGGATTTAACATTAGCAATCAGACTTGGGCTTGGTATAAATCAAACACCATCGCTTTTCAGTCTAATGCACACCCACTCATTCATTAGCACCATCCAATGCAGATTATAAATATTAGCCAAGAAACCTTCAGTTCTTGAGATTCTTTCCACAGACACAGCAATAACTGAACAATAATGATGACAATTTTATTTTTATGAATTGCTATGGCTTTCATTGATTTGCTCTTGGGCCTGGAGAACGCTTCCTCAGCCAGTATACAGCAGGGAATGGTTATAGCATTATCAGATGGTCGTAAGAGATAAATAAAATAAAGGGGGTGAGAATGAGGGTGGGACTCAGCAAACTGCTGATGGAAGCAAGATTATGCCCCTTACTCCCAACAATAGAGCACCTTAAATTACCTCCTTCCCCCTCCCCTTTCCTCTCCTGGTTCAGTGAAAGGAAAATACTCCCAGGCTATAAATGCGCATTAACTTTGGAGCGAAACATTTTGGGGTTCTCGGTAGCAGCTGAAGGAAAATGAATAAGATGGGAATAAATGAGCCTGCTTAGGCAGTGCATAGGCGGGAGGCCGAGTCCCACGGGAATATGGCCTTTCACTGGCTCCTTTGATGATGTACGGCTTCTTAGTAACAAAGGCAAGTGGAGCCTTCTGAAAATATTTCACCCATAACCAGGGAGGAGAATGGATCCCCCCTTGCCTCCTCCTCTGCAGGATGCAAGATGTCCTGGCATCCTCACCCAGCTCTCCCTGCCCTTCACCTTGCAGTGTTAATGGTCTGGACATCTTGGCTTATCAGTAAGAAGGAAACAGACGTGGATCTGCATGTGTGTTTCCAGCACTGCCATTGTGTTCCCTTCTCAGTGACAGGTTTTAGGGGTTTGTTTCACGTTCATGCCCTCCCGTCCCCAGGAAAATCTGGATTTGTATTTCTGTTGATGCGCTGGATTGAGACCTCACTGGGGCTTTTAGTGCAGGGAGCAAGAACAGATGCATCTTTCATTTTTTGGTTTTTTTTTTTTTTTTTTCCGGTACCAGGGATTGAACTCACGACCTTGCGCTTGCCGGGCAGGCACTGTGCCACAGAGCTAAATCCCCAGCCCCAGGTGCATCTTTCAGAGCCATCAGTCTGCGGCAAAGTCTGTGCCATGACACAGACTAGTGGGTTCCCCTGGGTCAGGGGCAGTGGCATTGTTTTTGCAGCAATTCCTCTATGTGCAATCGGCCTTTCTGTCCTGGCCCCAAGTTTGTAGTGGAGGAGCGGACAAGCTGATGTCTCAGTGCAGGTCCAGCTTCAGCATTGGCTGGGTCAGTGAGTCCTCTGTGTCCCCACCGAAGAGTAGGATGTGAGCTGCCCTTCAGACAGAAGGATGCTGATTGTAGTGGTAGCTGACGCAACCTGTTGTTTTTTTCCAGGTCACCTTTATTTTTTATTCTCTTTTTAGTTTTCAAGATGGGATCTTGCTGTGTAGTCCACCCTGGTCTTGAAAGCATTTGTTGGTGGCCTTGAAGTTGTGGTCCTCCTGCCTTA